GGACCAGAGAAAAATTGAGCAGGCACGGGAGCACCTCTCAGCAGTCCCTACTACATCCTGTCCCTTGATGGCATCCTCGTTCTTCTCCATCCTGACGCACTTGACGTGCTCTCGAACGTACGGGCCCCTGGTGTCTTCCTTGGTCAGGCATTCCTTTGCTATCCGCAGCTTCTCGTATGCTTTCTCTACGTAACGTACGTACGTGTCGCGGGCCCCCCCCCCCCCCCCCCCCCCCCGCCCCCGGCGGCCCGCGCCCGGAACTAAGTTGGGCCCGGTGCTACCGCCGACGGCGGGTCCGATTCATGATTCAAGGCTGTACTTCGCCGGAGTCCGGTACTCGGAACGGGAGTAGCCTCGCCGGGAGGAGGCTTGCCCCTGACACTGTGCGGTCACGGTCAATTAGAGCCGCGTTATTCGAGGAGGCTTGACCGTCCCTGTGGCCGGCCCATTGCTGGCGGCTGCCAGTGTGACAGGGCCACTACCACGGTACCGTACCGCAGGCTACCGTACGGCCTCGAGTAGAGAAGAGACAGAGAGAACCAACCCTCATGCTGCTGACTGCTCCGTGACTGCAGATTCCCTCGTAATAGCAGCAGATCTTGGACCAGATTCGTTTACAAGTTGGATCACCTGATAAATCATGCGAAGTCGAGAGACCATACAACGCTGCCGTTTCCCGGGCTAGTACGGTACGGCGCCGCGCGCACCGTTGGCCGCAGCCACCACACAAAGCTCAACGCGTCATCTTGCAGGAGTCTATCAGTGCTGGCGATGATGGGAAGAAAAGCCTTGGGCGGGACTTGCTGAGCATATACATTACGATTAGCACGAATCGTCCTCTGCACCGCTGGTTCCAGCTTGCGAGCAAGGTCCGGTACCACCGAAGAGCTTGACAGTCAGCCGTGCGGTACTTGTCTCGTTCAAATAAACACAAATCAATTTAGTGTGCTTCCTCATTGTTGAAGCTTTACGAAAAATAAAAAAATGCTGTGCTTCTGATCGCTAGGTTTATACATTCAAGACATTCGTCAAATCGCATTCCTCCAAGTTCAAAGCATCCTCGATCGGAAATGACATGTACCAATTGAGCCAATCTCCCTCCATCCGATTTGTTCCAAGCTCTTCCACTTTTTGCCCAGGCTCGGGCTCGGGCTCGGGCTCGGGCTCGGCTTGGCTTGCCTCTGCCATCTCTACCTCAGTCCCTCTCGCACCGTCTTGGAGTAACATGCTATCATTAGCGACCAGACGTTTGTTCATCTCCCGCCGATAGGGCCATCGCTCTATCCCCAGCCTTCTGCATCCGCTCTTGAGAGAGGTGAGTGAGATCCCCTGCCCAGTCTCGTCAGCTCCTCTTTCACACTCACGGCAAGGAAGGCTTACCAGGAGCTTTGCAGCTTCGACTTGCTTGAGATGGTAGAGTGAAGAGACTGTGGAAAGGTCGAGGCGGATATGATCACGACGATGTGAAGCACGGGGGCGCGCTTGGATGAGGACGGAGTTGAGTTGGTCTATGTTAGCCATAACAATCAACGCTGGTGTGCTGGCGCTGGTACTGTAGCCGGGTGTAGGATATTACGAGGAGCAGGGGGCAGAATGAATCCTTGAGGGATGATACGAGAACAGGGATGCAAGAAGTTTTAGAAATCTGGTCAGGAGGCTGGAGGCTACAAGCTTTAGTAGGGCGGTGGAGGGAAGGACGGGGGAGGGAAGGACGGGGGAGCGTGAGATAACTGGTGGAAATGCAAAAAGTTTTAATGAACTGGAAGCGTTGCGAGATGAGAATCTTACCACAGCAACCGATGTGATATGAGAGCCAATCGGGGGAATGGCTGACACGGAACGGAGCCACGGAGAATATCTGGAGGAATAGCCCCCTCGGAGCGGAGCTGAGGTTCTAGTGATGGACTCTCGGTCATATCTGCTCTCCTCCCCTGGTTTTCTCCCCGGATCAAGGCCAGCCGTTTGCTCCTGCTACTGGCCCGTGACGATGATGACCGAAATCATCGATCATCGATGAATCAGACCATGGTCACTGATGTGCGTGACCGTGACGGGCCCGGCCCGTCACAAGTCGTCAGGCGCTATGAGTACGGTCAGCCGCGGCTCGAAGCCTGAAGTCGGACCCGGTCGGACATCACGGTCCAGCCGCCGCATGACGGTCCCGGCGCGGCCGCGGCGGCACTGCCAGACTCAGCAGCAGTGCCAGCCTGGACTCCGACTCAGTGGCCGCACCCGTCCGGCCCGGCCCGGGCCGATTCAATAACGGCGGCCAGTGCGACAGTGTCAGGGTCAAGCCTCCTCGACCGTACTATCCTGATTGTCCTCGTACTGATCTTTAACTTCAGTAACTTTGAGTAAAGAACGGCGTGACAACTCAAGGCTCCCGGCCCGCCGGGCCCGGCCCTCAGGGCGGCCTAGTTCAACGGTCACCGGCGTACGCTCCGGGAGCACTGAAAGTTCCCAGCTGAAGGACTACCCGGTGGACTGAGAGGCCATGGAAGGGGTGGGCGCTTCCGATGGGGCAAACCTACAACTCGAGGCAGGGCCTCGGAGACAGCATGTGGTCCACGTTGGATCCCCCCTCCTCCGCACCCTTGGCTCCGAGCAGCTCCTCCCTCTTTTGCTTCTCGGGCCTCAACAGCAGCGACATCTCCTCACCGGCTCCTGCATCGAATCCTGCAGCAGGTTCCTCGGGAAAGAGGCCCAATGCCTTCATGAGCTCCAGCACAGCTGTTGTCGCTCCGTCCAGACCCAAGATCGTGAAAGTCGCCACTAGCAAGACCATGATAGGCTCAAGAGCGAAGAAACGCCGGCACTGCGTCACAGGAGGTGGTACGTGGCAATCATCGAGCCTGAATGTGTTCGACTCTCCACCGGCTTCCTCTGCAACGATGTTGTCTTTTCAGTCTGCGACAGGAGTGAAGTTCTCCTCCAACAACATGATCTGCGATAAACTGGTAGATCCCGCCAGAGAGGAAAGATTTGCATCAAGCACACAGCAAAGTGCTTCTATCAACGATATGGAATTCGAGTACAACCAGAACCCCTCACTACACCCCTTTCGAGCACCTTTAGCGCGTGGTGTATTCCATATGACGCCTCTCAGATCCTCTGCAGAACAGTTTAAACGCTTTGATACAGCCATGGAAGAGTTCGGAACCGACAACCCAAGCTCGAGCATGAAGCTGCTGCTGACCATGGGCACCAACGTGCTAGCAAACGTCCTCAGGCACGTCTACAAGTCAAGCACGAACAAAGCGTTGACCCTGAAGTCCGGACGAGAAATTGCTGAGAGTATGAGCAATGAAGCTCGAGGAAAGTGGTCGAGGAGCATGCTCGACGAGCTTGAACAAGGGCATGTCGATGAATGGGACATCGACGTGCTATCCCATCTCCTCATCGTCAGCCCCCGGTACGTCCATGACTCGAAGGCAGTGGCTGCAATCGAGGAGCTCAGGAACGCAGGGAATGATTTCACTCACTCGGCATGGAGGACAGCAGATGGAGAGTTCCGGAGCAAGTGGAATCGAGTCAGAGGAGCCCTGGAGACTTTGATAAGCTCCTACTTGATGCCCGGACATGCGAGTCTACTCAATCAAATCATCGCCATCTCAAACCAACTGGGCGAGGTGAAAAGCGACCGTGACCATGGCAGCCATGGCGCGGCGTCCAGCCGCCATGGTGCCCGAAGTTCCAACTTCATCGACTGAGTGGCAGAGCTTAGAGTGCCGTTGCGGCACAGCGGGTGGCCCGCCGGAATCATGTGATACTATGTAATGATAGCGGAATGCTATGTAATGATTGTGCGGAATGCTATGTAATGATAGTCAATGAACTGAACGCGAACATGAAACATCATTGAGGCTTCGAGTCCGCTGGAGTTCCGACGAACTGTGGGCGCTGGAACTCGGAAGTGTGCTGCCACGGAAAAATTTCACTTTCCCGAATTTTTCTCAACACATTTTCAGCACTGCCCGGCCGCACATTTCAGGAGAGTTCACTCCTCGAACAAATATAAGGCGCCCTATGATGGACACTGCCCCCACAGCGGCGATCAGCGGCGGGGGCTCAACACTGGTCAGGAGAGGAGGCTTGCGCGCGACCGGCGAGCCGGGACTGAGGACCCGGCCTGACTCGCCCGGCCGGGCCGGGCCTGGCACGGCCCGGCCCGGCGGCGGCGGCGGGGACTATGAGTGGCAACATTGTTTTAGTTAACTTTGAGCTGACGCCATGCTGCCGCACTGGGCGCTGGGATACGCAAAGGAAGGGAGGAGGGGAGGAAGAGAGCCGCAGAGGCTTCGAGTAGAGACAGAAGAGGAGCGGAGGAGGAGAGGAAGAGGAGAGGAAGAGGAGAGGAAGGAAATGAAACGGTCAGATACTGCGAGGGAGACCATTGTTGCGTGTAGATCGGGCAAGGTTTCTAGAGCATGGCAGACTCGTGAAACTTGAGACAGTCAGAAGCCTGTGCTCACTTGTTGAGTGTGAGTGTGAGCATCTTGAGATTTCCATTAGACCATGAGAGGAAACCCGAGATGAATTGGCCGTGCGTCTAACATGGCTCTTTAGTCGACCTTCACCCGCCCTGTGAATGGATCTGCTCGATGAAGAGGAGTACCTCTACAATCCATACAACACTGCGGTAAGCAGCTGTTGTTTCAATCCTTTGCTTCAAAGGAACGCGGTCCTGACTCGGTCGCGGTTTTGCAGGGAGGACAGTCTGACGAAGACCCTGACGACGACGACGATGGTGGTCTGACCACTGAGGATGAGTACACAGGAAAAGCTGCGCTGAATCCTGCGAACTCCATATTCTCATTGTGAGTTTGAGTGAGAGAGCTCCGGTTGTTGCTGCTAGACGCTTGACTGAGGACTTGAACGAGTGATTTTCAATCCCTTCCCTCTGCTCTCTCAGTCCTGCTTTCAGCCCCCTGCGAGGTTTGAAGGAGACTTACTCTTGCTGCCCTGACAGGCAAAATTCGTCTTGGAAGGCAAAGCAGTATGGAGGAGCTAAGATCAAGCATGTCGCATCTGCCGGCCAGGTCCTTTACCTGGCGACTGATCGCGGCCGCCTCGTGCGGTGGAACCTGTTGAACGGAGAGGAGCATGAGATTGTCATTGACAAGGGTCGGAACGACATCATCTTCAAGGTTCATGTGGATCCGTCCGGGTCGCACTTGATCGTCGGGGGCAACCAGGGAGAGAACTGGTACATCCAGGCCTCCCGCAACCTGCGGCCAAAGCTGCTGTTGATGGCGAAGGGAGCGAGGATAGAGTCGGTGTGCTGGGACAGGGAGAACGGAGATGACGTCAGTACGGGTGTGATCATGGTGGGCACAAGCACTGGCTGCATCTTCAAGGCAAGCATCCTAGACGGGAAGGAGAAGTACTGGAAGGAAATCTTCAGCTTGCGCGATGCCGGGCAGCCGATCTGTGGGCTGCAGTGCGAGATCTTCCCTCCCTCCGCCAAGTCGGTGAGCGAGAGCACGAGAAGGTACTTCGTCATGGCAGCGACCCCGACAAGGTACTACGAGTTTATCGGAGGCCCCACATTCGATGCTCTCTTCGCTCAGTACACCTCGGCGCCAGCCTTCATCGAGCTCCCAGGAGACCTCGATTACAGCGAGCTCCACTTCTTCCGCAAGGGGAACGGGAGGGCAACGTCGTTCGTGTGGTTGACGGGCCCCGGACTGTACTCGGGTAGCTTCAGCTTTGGAAGTCAGAACGTCGGCGACAGCATCATCTTCGACTACAAGCTGATCCCCTACTCCAACAAAGTCCCCTCTCCTCCCATCGGGATCCTCTGCTCGGAGTTCCACTGGTTCATCCTCTTCGGAGATAGGCTGCAGATCATCAACCAGCTGACGCAGGAGCTGGCGTGGGAGTACCAGTTCACCTCGCGCCAGATCTACGGGGACATGAAGGGGATGGTGCAGGACGGGGCTTCAGGGAGGATATGGGTATACGCGGACTACATGGTGAACGAAGTGATGATCACCGGGGAAGATCAGAACATCTGGCGCTGCTACTTGCAGAAGGGACAGTACGACACTGCCCTGCAGTACTGCCAGAACCTGGAGCAGAGGGAGAAGGTGCTGACGGCGCAGGCGGACCACTACTTCAACGAGCGGCAGTGGGAGCTCGCGGCGTCCATCTACGCCAAGACGAGGAGGAGCTTCGAAGAGATCTGCTTGAAGTTCATCAACCTGGAGGAGAAGGACGCGCTCAAGCGGTACCTCTCGGACAAGCTGGACCATATGAAGACCACAGACAAGGCGCAGCTGACCATGATCTGCACTTGGCTGTGCGAGAAATACCTGGACAAGCTCAACACTGTCAAGGAGCAGGGGTCGGCTGAGGACTACGGGCTCCAGCTCGACGAATTTCGCCACTTCCTGCAAGACAACGTGGCGAACTTGGACCCGATCACGACGTACCAGCTCATCCTCAACCACGGGAGGCTCGACGTCATGCTCTACTACGCTGAGCTGAACGGGGACCACGAACGAGTCATCTCGCACTACATGCAGAGGAGAGAGTGGACCAAGGCGCTGGAGGCACTGAGTAAGAGCAACGATGCCTCCCTCTACTACCTCCACTCCCCTTCCCTCATGCAGCACTCGCCCGTCGGCACCACCAACGCCTGGATCAACGCCACCCGCTCGGACCCTCTTTTCCTCGACCCTCGCCGCCTCATCCCGGCCCTCATGCGCTATGACCCCAAGAACAACCCCCCCGGACACAAGGCCAACCAGGGGCTGCGCTTCCTCCAGCACTGCGTGAGAAACCTCAAGGTCTCTGACCCGACGGTGGTGAACTACCTCGTCAGCCTTCTGGCTCAGGAGGAGGACGAGGGTGCGATGCTGAGCTTCCTGGCGGAGTACGGCGGGGAGGGAGGAATCATCGACCTACAGCATGCGATGCGGGCGTGTCAAACGTCGGGGAAGCAGGAAGCTTGCGTCAACATCCTGTCGAGCCTGGGACAGTTCGAGCAGGCGGTCGACCTGGCGATCGAGCTGCAGGACATCGAGCTGGCCAAGATCAACGCAGACAAAGTGGAGGGTGACGACGATCTGCGGAAGAGGCTGTGGCTGAGGATAGCGAGGTATGTGATCGAGGAGGAGAAGGACGTGAAGAAGGCCATGGAGTTCATCAACCAGACGGATATCCTGCGGATCGAGGACGTGTTGCCTTTCTTTCCCGACTTCACCCTCATCGACGACTTCAAGGAGGCGATCTGCGCGTCGCTGGAGGACTACCACAGGCACATCGAGGAGCTCAAGAGGGGGATGGAGGAGGCGACGAAGAGCTCGGAGCTGATCCGCAAGGACATCAACGACCTCCGAGGACGCTTCGGGTTCGTGGAGAGCAACCAGAAGTGCTGCTTCTGCAGGACGCCGGTCCTCGCGTCTGCGCTGTTCCTCTTCCCCTGCCAGCACGCGTTCCACATCTCGTGCCAGGAGGAGTGGATGATGCGGGAGATGCTGGGGGAGAGCGACAGGAGGAGGGTGGTGGAGCTGAAGGCTGCCATTGCGGCCGGACAGAAGCAGGTGAGGGATTTGTTGTTGGAGGGAAGATGGGGTTAGGGGAGGTTGATGAAACTGGCGAGATTGGTGATGTGGGAGGAGGAAGGGAGGACTAGAGGAGGAGGGGAGTGGGAAGGAGGAAATGAGGAAGGAGGGTGAAGTGCTGGGGGTGCAGGAAACGAAAAGTAAGAGAAGGTGAAGGGAGGGGAGGAAGGAGGCGGGCTGAAGCAAAACTTTAACTGTGACGAGCAGGGAAGGGAGACAACTAGTGATACAGGAGGTCTCGAGAGACTTCAGGCGGAGCTGGATGACTTGCTGGCTGCCGATTGCCCTCTCTGTGGAGGCCCAGCGATCGAGATGATTTCTCGTCCGTTCCCCGTCTATGGGGATGGACCAGCCGCCTTCGAGTTGCCCAGCATGCTAGCCTAGCCTGAAGACGTAGACCAGCAGTAGTAGGAGGAAGAGGAAAAGGAGGAGGAGGAGGAGGAGGAGGAGGAGGATCTAGGAGGAAGGATGTGCTGGAGGTAGGTAAATCCTTAGAGCTTCAGGTCAAACTCGTCCTCCTTTTGGTTGGCACACAGCATCCCCTCGATCTTGTGCTCCTCGTCGAGCTTGACAAGCTGATCAGCCGGTCAGTGAGGAACAGGACGGGGACAAGGCAAGGGGGGGGGGAAGATGTGGAGAGGGAGAAGAGCAGCAGCAGCACTCCTCACCTCCAGCAGCCTTTCGAAGCTCGTGACTTTCTCTCCCCTCCGCTCGATCATCTCGCGTTTCTGCGATGACGTCAGAACAAGCAATCTCTTCCCCCCCCCCCCTCTGCCCCTTCCTCCTCCTGCTCTACATATACTCCATCCTTCCTCCACCTTTACGTACACTCCTTCCTTCCTCCCCTCCCTCCCTGTCTCCATATCCTCACCGACTGGACGAGCTCGGCCACCGGCCTGTACTCCGGCAGCACCGTTCCCTCCGCATCTAGCATAAATCTTGGGATGAGGTCGACAGGAGAGTCGCTCAGTATCCTTTCCTGCTATCAGTTCCGTGAGCACCACTGCATCACCCTTCCCACCCTCTGCCTTGCCCTCACCATCTCCCTTCCTCTGCTTTCCCTCCTCTTCCTTCTCCTCCTTCCCTCCTCTTCCGTTCTCCTTCCCTCTTCCTGCTGTTACCTTTTCCGGCTCGTTCAGCAGTTCCTGCATGCCGTTGGGGATCGAATATCCTCCCCACTGCCTTCGAATATGCTTCATGTTCATCTCCTCCGCCAGCCACTTCCCTGTGTCCTTGAACCTGCCCCGCCCTTCAGCCTCTCCTCTACGGCTCCTCCTCCCCTCCTTCCCACTCCTCCCTTGCCCCTCTCCCATCATGCTCTTCATCCCCCCTCCCCTTCGCCCTCCCTCACTCACTCTGCTTGCTCCGCACGATCCACAGGCTGGTCGCCGTAGATGTCGGTCGCCCCCAGATCAGCTCCGAGTGCCACGAGCCTCTTGCACGTTTCCAGGTTTCCCATCAGGGCGGCGCAGTGCAACGGCGAGTACCCCTTCTTGTTCCCCATGTTCACCACAGCTCCCAGCTCCACCAGCTTCTGCACCACCTCCACGTGCCCCGCCAGGGACGCGATGTGTAGGGGAGACACCTGCAGCAGGTGGTCCTCCGACTCCAGCAGGAAGTTTGGGTTCGTTCCCTTGCAGATGATCTCTGCGCAACGAGACAGCTCCCCGTCCCTCGCCGCTGACAGCAGCGTCCTCTGATTGTGGATGTCTCCGTGCCCTCCCCGCAGCCTCATGGCAGCGCTGCTGGCCGCAATGTTGCTTCCTCCCGGAGTGACCGCTCCTGCGCTCAAGAGGGAGCGGTCACATGCGGGCATGCTGCATCCACCTCTCTTCAGCGAGAGCGCTTCAACCAGGCACAGGAGCAGGCAGAGCATTGTGATGTGAAACTTGTCCATCGCAGAGGATCTGCCGACCTCCCTGCAGTCGAGTAGCCCGTTCAGCGTTCTCCGCGCCTACCTCATCTTCCCTTGGTGATGTGGCACTCAAAGTCACATGCCATGAACACCCCAAGAAGAAAGCAAGGCAGGGAGACTCCGTGAATAATCTGCGGGAGAGCAAGTAAGATTGGCAGTCCTCCTCCTCCTTCTCTCTCTCTCTCTCTGTCATCTCTGTCTCTGTCTCCTTGTCTCTGTCTCTGTCTCTGTCTCTCTGTCTCTCCTCTCCTCTCCTCTCCTCTCCTCTCTCTCTCTCTCTCTCCTCGTCTCTCTGCCATCTAGTCTTTCCCGCTTCCGCCCATCGCGGCCACCCCCTTGAATGTCCGGGAGTGACGTTGTTGACACTCTTCAATGACTGACCGCCTCCTGTGCCATACCGGCCGGCCCGGCCGGCAAGTCCGATCGCCGGCCCGGGACCTTGCCGCCAAGTCACTGAACTAGTCCGGCGGTTTGCCGTTGCGACCCCTGCGCTCCCGGGGTTCCTACCCTTCGGCCTCCTACCACCCCTGTGTGCCTCCTCCCTACCTTTGTACTTGACGTGCCTTTTTACCACCGGTACTTCATATCTTCTGGACCCACCCATTTTTCGATACCCCACCACCCAAATAGTCCGAATCGTGCTCGAAATTCCGGTGTGGTGTAAAATTTTGAATTTGTAAATAATTTTTCATAATATATGGTTCAAGTTTGAACATTTGAAATAAAATATTTGAAACAGTTGTCCAAAAATACCAACATGCACCCATCGAGGAGCCAATACGTTCTGTGCTCGAACTTGGATCGTTGTCCTCACCCCTGATGTAAATAACCCTTGAATTAACACTACAATATACCGGTATAATTGATCCTGTTGTTGACGACAGTGGGTCAACACTCTCAGTACATACCCTACCCACCATCTCAATTATTGTCCCCAGCCAAATCTTACCCCACCCCCATGTCGCCAATGTACCTACCTTCTCCAGGGAATTCTGTGGGTACTACCCACACAAAGAGTACCCCCACCCTAATCCATGGTCACCGGAGATTCCTCTACCTCCCTGTGGAATTGATTTTCATGGGGTAGACATGTACACTTTGACACACCCTACCCTATTAATATCGTTATTTGATGGTTTGGAGGGTGGGGTCATTACCCCCTACCCTAGTAGGGGGCAATTATTCGCTTATACCAGTCCCCCGACGCCATGGTGCTCCAGAGGACTGAGCGCGGTGCAACAGGAACGAATGTACGAATAGCCTGAACTTCACCGTTGCCCTCTTGTAGTTCTGTTTCTTCAGTGTGCTCTCCCCGACTCCATCCTAGCAGGATTGGTTTTCTCTTTCTTCTGCTTCTCATTGCAGATCTGGTTTGACCAGCATTATCTCCGAGCAGTTGCAAGAATCTGACTCCCGGTTGACGGCCGCACTTTCGAGAGAGATAGGGCAGGAATCTGCGTGAGATATCAAATCTCATCCGAGTTTTGCTGTCTTGTCGTGTATGTACTTTCGACTGCTTGCTTTTACGTCAAGGATACACTTTCCAGCATCCGACGGAACTTATTCTTACGGATTTTTGTGACGGCCCCCAAGAAAACAATTGATCTTCATTTTCGATTGCTCTGAACCCTTGAAACAAGATTATTCACGATGATGTTCAAGTCGGTCCTTCTCTTGATCGTCGCGAGTCTTTCGCTCCATCTGGTGTCGGGGTTCATGGGCTCCCTGTGTGGTATCACTTGCAACTTGGACGAACCAGGGAGGCAGAGGTGAGAAATTTTCTGGGAGAGGAGTAGCGATCTCTGTGCTGACTCTCACTCTCAGGTCAGAGCGCATCGATGTGCCCTGCCATCCTACAAGGGTACTCCGTCGTTGTGCCAGGCAGCTCCCCAAGTTGAAATCGAGCCGGTCTGATGAGAATGTTGGAGGCGACGAGCAGAGAATGTCTCTGCTTACAGGCAATCTTGTGTCTGAGCAAGTAGACAAAAACCTCACGAGGGCCATCTGGACATGCGGCAAAGGCGTCTCGATCGAACTGACTTACAACGACGAGGAGTGGCACAGGGTCCACGAGGGGGAAGTAGCCGTGACGCTCACAAACGCTGATGGAGTGGCGATGGGGAAATCTCTGGTGGTCAAGGAAGGCCAGTGGCTGAAGACTCCTGCCAATTGCAGGGTCAGGTGGACGGTGATTAGATCGATCAAGCTGCAGACAACCTACGCTGAACCGTTTCGACTGGTCGCCAACGGCTTCATCCTTGCTCCTCCTCTTCCTAAGGCCTTGTTCCAGTCAAACCAAGAGCAGGTGCAGCCTAGTCAGCCTAAGAGTCCTCAATCCTATCGGAAGAGGATAAGCAAGTTCATCGAGAGGACCAGGCAAGGGGCTTCTGCTTTCCTGGACGACCTGTCCAATCCTCTGTCGTCCATTGGGAAGGACGTGAAATCTGTTACGGAAATGACGCCTATGTTCAATCAGACAGGAATCAAGTGAAGGATTGCAGATCAATTGCGAGGATCCTTCTGATAGAAACCCTGGCTTGTAGTGCAGATCGTTTTTATCCCCTCATTGGAATTCATAGATTTATGTAAATTAGCGCGCGAGAGGGAGAGAGTGACACGTTAAGGTTGAGAAAGTAGAAGTCTGCACTGAGAGTACATGTATTTTAAAGCATAAATGTTGCTCAAGCACAAGGGGTGTGGAGCGGTTTGTTCAATTGAACTCAGACCAGTGCTTGAGAGCTGTGTTTTATTCCCCCCGTTGCAAAGCTTCGTAGGCCTTCATTCTTTTCTGCAAGTGTGCATCCTCTTCTTCCGCAATCTTCTTCCGATCAGCAAGCAACCATTCCCTCCCCAGCTGCAAGGCTACGATGAGTACAGCCATCTATCAACCCCAGCAACCTCCTACCTCTGTCACGTATCTCAATGGTAGCTTGGAAATCGCCTCCCCAGGTCCGCTCTGAACCAGCAGGATCTCACCCTGGGGAGCTTTGTACAAGTTGATTTCCCCGTGCCGTGGATTGTTAACCACCTTTCCTTCTCTTTGAGAGAATCTCGGGGCAGGTGCAATGTTGCCAATCTATCAAACCGTGAGATGCGAAGGATGACGCATCCACGTACCTGCTTCAATCCTTTCCGGAAATCTGATGTGTTGCTGTAGTGAGTCCAGCTGAGCTTGCTGGGAGACGCGCTGCCTGTTGATGTGGAGACAAGGGAATGCGAAGGATCGAGCTGTGATCCTGGCGTGTCTAATTCTGCAGCGAGTCTGGGTGCCTTACGAAACTTATCTTGTACTGGTTGCGTGCTTTTTGAAGTCTTCTCACTCTCCAGAGAGGAGAAGACGATCTTCGTTGTCAACCTGCTGATATTCTTGGTCTGCACCAAGTCCTTCCTCCTCAACAAGAACGATATCGTCTCCTTGGAGCTCTCATGCTCCTGCTGCTTCCTATACCACGATGTTGTCGTCATGGCTGCCCTACGTTGCTCTGGTCGACCTGCATGGTTGCTGTTCCTTCTGCTCTCTCCCTCTCCTCATGGCAGGCTCATGGGGTTTCAACTGAAGGCCGAGATGAGGGTGATGAGTTCAGTAAGCTGCCGCCGCTCACCGAGTCGGCGCCGGGCCCGGGGCGGCCGGGCCGGGCCACGGAGTGGCCGTATGCGGCCTGTGCGAGTCGGACAGTGTCAGGGTCAAGGGCCTCCTCGACTCTCCTGATTGTCCTCGTACTGATTTTTAACTTATGCATTATTCGGACAGCGATGCCATGATCATCGGACAGTGTCGCCGCCGCCGGATGCGGCAGCTGAGATGATCGGATGATCCCGAGTCCCGAGTCCCGGCTGAGGCAGCTCCGACAGGCGGCAGTGCCCCCCCGCTTCCCCCGGCCCCCCTCCCTCGAGTCTCCCGGGTCAAAAATGCAAGTCCGTGCTACCCTTGACCCCGACCTGAGCTAGGGGATCAGCTGAATGGCGTTACTGAGCTCCGAGGCTGGAGCGAGACCTTGTTCCAGTAGGAAAGCCGCAGCGTGAGAGAGGTGAAACGCTCGAAGTCCAGCCCGAGGCTCTCCTCCTCCACCATGAGCTGGAGGGGCCCTGGGGTCAGCGAGCCGAGCACCGGAACACAGCGCTGTCACCTTCATCATCCTGCGGAGCTCGTTGAGAGTGTAGTTGTGCCCGAGATCCTTGAGGAGCTGAACATGAAGTCACTTGTTGCCTCGCGGCGGTGGAGGAGGGGAACCTCGTGCAGCTCCTCAAGGTCGATGTAGCCGGAGCCTGCGGGGCCGATGAGGGGAGGGCGGGAGGAGAGGAGAAGTGACTGAGGAGGAGGGATGGAGGAGGAGGAGGAGGGATGGAGGAGGAGGTGGTGGTGGTGGTGGAGGAGGAGAGGAGGGTAATCAGGCCAGGAAAGTGGAAGGGGATCAAAAGGATCAGAACGATGAGGAAATAGGATCGGAGTAAGCAAGGAGCCGAGGAAGGAAAGATGGAGGGATGGGAGAGGACGAAGGAGGGAGAGGCAGAGGAGGCAGACGACGAAGGAGGGAGAAGCAGAGGAGGGAGAGGATGAAGGAGGGAGAGGATGAAGGAGGGAGAGACAGAGGAGGGAAGAGGGGAGGGGAGTTTGGACCGTCAGCGTCATATTTGTTGAAGGCGTCGCGGAGGAAGGATACTTCTTTCGACTCCTGCTCCAGTCAGATGAATTGTGAGCCACCTTTATGCTTGCCTTGTGATGCCAAACTTGTTCCAGAAGTCCATCTGACAACAGCAAGGAGGAGGAGGAGGAGGAGGAGGAGGAGGAGGAGGAGGAGGAGGTAGGTAGGTAGGT